ATGAAAGATGTCATGTTGAATAGTGACACTGATAGTTCAGGACAGTGCCAGTGAGATTGCCAATTAATTAATGTCCCACAAGTCTAAAGGAATGTGGGAAATTACTTTTCACTGCAGGAAATCATCTTGCAGCAAAAAATATCTTTTAATGATGTAATATCATTTTAATTTTTTAAACAGTAGTGTTGTTGTTTAATGGATGTATAATAATAAGTAATGGTGATCATACTGACACAAGATATACTTTAGAGATGAAGATGTATGCTTTCAAAAATGTTCGCACACTCAAGGTCCAAGGGAGGCCCTGCTAGTGATGTTACCAGACACGTCCTGAAAGTACCGCTTCACTTACATTAAATTCAAACTGGACTATATGCTATAGCTGGTCAAAGTTCACAGTAGGCTTCTCCCAACATTCACTTTGTCCTGCAAAGACTCAGAAATACTTGTTGCCCATATTTCCTTTACTAGACCTTCCTACCTTTTGTTCATTATGTGTACAATGAAGTAAGGTTACATTTTTTGCATAATGAAGATAAATCCATTTTTGAACAAAGCAGTTCAAAGCTAAGGGTGTAGTCACAGATGTGGTTAGCAGGAAGCGTAGTAGTATCATCTGGGTCAATGTAAATTGAAATAATCCACCTAGGTGTTCTTCTAACCTGCAATTATTGATCCAAGTAATCTTTGCTTTTCTGACTTATGATTTTATATAATTTATTATTTTTCCTTATTGATGTGTAATTTACTCCATCTTGAATCTCAGTTCTGAATCTTGCTTGCCTGCAAGTGCATACACACATAGCCATGCACCCTTATAGATAAATGCATATCCATTTTCATCTGTGTGCACATGCTTTTGCAGTGTTTTATTAACACTACTTTCCTTTATTCCAGCCACAGTCAAAAAATCCTTTTATCATCTTTTATGCTGTTCATCTTCTACTTTATATTCCTCAGAAATTTTAGTTACCAGGTGTTTTGGATAGCTGCAAAAAGCATTTCATATCTAAAATGAACACTCCAGGGGTGCTTGTCTTCCACAGAACCTGTTTACTTTGTGCTTCATACATTAGGTGAATAAGGTAGGAAATGATTTCCCTGCATGCTAGAAGTATCAGTATGAAAGTGCTCACCTCACAGACTGAGCTCTGAAAGTAATGATCAGAGCATCTGAAAGCCCCTTTAATCTGAATTCATTGCAAAACCTAACTCACAGACTCCTATAGGTTTCTAGTTTTAACTTAGTGCCTAATTAAGTGAAGTTTATCTCTGAAAACCTTTGTCACAGCTGGACATAACTAGCAATAGTCACTTGCAAGACTACAACTTAAGGGGGAAACTAAATGAAACTCAACAGGTTGTCCTTCTAGGACAAAGCTGAAATGTGCTTTTTAGGTAGTATAACAAAAAAAATAGCCTTCATCTAGGTCCCCAAACTACAGTGCAAAACCAGCATGCAGTTTGCCTCATATTAATAGTTTCCTCATAGAAGTGTCAGAGTGGAAAGATGAAGCCACATCAGTCAGGAGTGAGATTCTTCCATAGAGATATGGGAGGAGTAACATGTGCACCATTCATTTATGACCTGTCAAAGAACACAATTTATATGCATCTTCAAGAGAATTTTGTGTTCACTCAATTAAGTTTTTAATAGTCAAAGCACAACAACTGTTTATTACTTAGTCCAGTTACAATAATGCTAATGCTTACAATCTAAACCACCCAGTTTCTGTTGAGAATTGTTAATGATACAGTAAGATCAGTAGATTTTTTCTTGCATGTTGAATCCCCACCCTTCTGATCATCCACAGTCTGAGAGGGTAAACCTCGTCTCTCAGGCAGGATGATTTGGTGAGTTACCATGTCCCAAGTTGTTTGCCAGGGGAGTACAGTGTTGTTGCAGCAGAGTTACTGGTGGGAGTTTCTTCTTCATCAGTCTGTGGTTTGCTCAATATTATTTTTATGTGTTTCAAACAGCTTATTTGCTAAAATAACTGCCTGATTGCATCCTCAATTTAGTTACACTGTATTCATTTAAATCTATGAATCCTTCTCTGTGTATGGGAGGTTTTCTTTTATGATACAATCCACACAACCATGCACAAACAAACAAAACCTGACTCAAATTTAAGTTGAAAGCTTCTTAAGCACTAGACAGGTGATTCTCAAAGCCCAAAGACATAAGTCAGGCAGCGACTGCCTGGCCATTGCGTAATTTTGTCATTAGGGGTAGGACCAGCTGGGCAATAGTCATCTGTCCAGACCTGAGAGGAAGTTGCAGGCAGGAGTTACATAAATAATTTCACAAGCAAAACTAAAATGAAGCCAAAATTAACCAATCCAGAAAAGACCTCACAAAGCCTGAGGTGCCTTGTAAGGTTTATTAATGTTATGAAGCCTGACTCCCAGTACTGCTACTCGGCCTCATCAAGTTGGCTGTACCACAGGAGTTAAGGCACTTTCATAGTCCTTGCTTGCAGTGTGCCTTACTCTGCAAGTGTCTCAGACACAACTTCCTTTGATGAGCACCTACATTATTCTTTTTTCTTCTTTTGAAATGGGATATTGAGTGCCTTCATTTAGTAGCTACCCTTGAAAAGGTCTCTTGCCTTTGGTGACTAAACCTGTACAGTACAGCTTTTGAAGAAGAGTGGTTAATTTAGAAGAGATTATCTTGTGTTCTACTATTCTCATTTTTAACCTTAAGGCAGGAATGAATAAATCTCTTACTAACTGTGATTTCCATCGAATCTGTTATGCTTCTCTGGACATTGTGTTGCTTAAACACAGCCAGCTCATCTTATCTTGTTTTTCTCTCCCTCAGAGCTACTTTACATGTAGTACGAAGTATTCTGTAAACTCTTCTCAGGTCTTTGGTTCTAAAAAAAATCACATAAAATCTCTCTGTGCCATAAAAGCAAAGAATCAATTTGTCCTTAATACAAATTCCAATCAGATGCACCAGTTCTTCCTTCCTCATCTGATCTATTGTGCATGTCTATGTGCAAACAACCTCCATCTATTTATAGATGTAATGTATGCAACAAATGTTAAAAGGGATCTTTTCATTGTCAAGGAGCTCCTTTTCTTGAAGATAATACATCATTAAGGTTTACCATAAAACACTGATGTGAATAAGAACGGCAAAAGCCTAGCCCAACACTGTAAATTTATCACAGAAGTGATTTGCAGAGTGTATGGTGTTTCTGTCTGCACTAGTTATAACACAGTCTTGAGGAGACCCACTGAGAGTGAAAAAAGAATAAAACCTAACCTCCTATACTGTTCGCAGTAGGAAAAGCTGTTTTGCCTCCTCTGACATCTGGAGGGCACATGCTCGATAAACAGATCCTTCAACAAGCCCAATGGTAGTGAAGGAAAATCTGCTTTTTTGTTGCTCTTGCCATTCACAATACATTTTATTGTTTTGTTTCAAATGAAAATACATTTGCCTGCTTTGAAATGGTACTGTACAATTGGCAGAGATCTCCTTTTGTTGCTTCTTAACTTAACTTCTCCCCTTTCCTATCCTCATCTCCACAGGCCTGTGACGGAGGGTTAGACCGGATCAGTGGAGTCATGCGTCACACAGCTGTATCATGCTGGCAGCTGTTCCTGAGTCTGGCTGTACTGCTAATATTCATGGGACCCACCATAGGCTGCCCAGCCCGCTGTGAATGCTCAGCACAGAACAAATCTGTCAGCTGTCACCGAAGGCGTCTGATGTCCATCCCAGAGGGCATTCCCATTGAGACCAAAATCTTAGACCTCAGCAAGAACCGACTGAAGAGCATCAACCCTGAGGAATTCACGTCGTACCCTCTGCTGGAGGAGATCGACCTCAGTGACAATATAGTTGCCAACGTGGAGCCTGGAGCCTTTAACAATCTCTTCAACTTGCGCTCCCTGAGGTTGAAAGGAAATCGTCTGAAGCTGGTCCCCCTTGGGGTGTTCACTGGGTTGTCAAACTTAACAAAGCTCGATATAAGTGAAAACAAGATTGTAATTTTGCTGGACTACATGTTCCAAGATCTGCATAACCTAAAAACCCTGGAGGTTGGGGACAATGATTTAGTTTATATATCACACAGGGCCTTCAGTGGACTGCTTAGCTTGGAGCAGCTCACCCTAGAGAGATGCAACCTCACAGCTGTACCAACAGAAGCTCTTTCTCACCTCCACAACCTCATCAGTCTGCATCTGAAACAGCTCAATATTAATGCTTTGCCAGCATATGCCTTTAAAAGACTGTTTCGCCTGAAAGACCTAGAGATAGAAGCCTGGCCCCTCCTGGACATGCTACCTGCCAACAGTCTGTATGGTCTCAACCTTACTTCTCTCTCCATCACCAACACCAACCTGTCTGCAGTACCTTACTCTGCTTTTAAACATCTAGTTTACCTGACACATCTAAATCTCTCTTACAACCCTATCAGCACTATTGAAGCAGGCATGCTTTCAGATTTAGTGCGCCTGCAGGAACTCCACATGGTGGGGGCCCAGCTACGTACCATTGAATCACATGCTTTCCAAGGGCTCCGATTCTTACGTGTGCTTAATGTGTCCCAAAACCTGTTAGAAACCCTAGAAGAGAATGTATTTCATGCCCCCAAAAGCCTTGAGGTCCTCTGCATTAACAACAATCCTCTGGCCTGTGACTGCCGTCTCCTTTGGATTTTACAAAGGCAACCTACTTTGCAGTTTGGAGGCCAGCCACCAATGTGTGCTGGCCCAGACAGCGTCAAAGAGAGGTCATTCAAAGACTTTCACAGCACAGCTCTTTCCTTTTACTTCACCTGTAAGAAGCCCAAGATACAAGACAAGAAGTTGCAATACTTGGTAGTGGAGGAAGGGCAGACAGTACAGTTGATGTGCAATGCTGACGGGGATCCGCAGCCTACCATATCCTGGGTTACCCCACGTCGGAGACTAATCACAACTAAATCAAATGGAAGAGCCACTGTACTGGGAGATGGCACCCTGGAGATCCGATTTGCTCAAGATCAGGACACTGGGATCTATGTTTGTATTGCAAGTAATGCAGCTGGGAACGACACCTATTCAGCCTCCCTTACAGTAAAGGGGTTTACTTCAGACCGTTTCCTTTATGCCAACAGGACCCCTATGTATATGACAGATTCCAACGACACAAGTTCCAATGGAACTAATGCGAATACCTTCTCTCTGGACCTTAAGACAATATTGGTGTCCACAGCTATGGGCTGTTTCACATTCCTTGGAGTGGTTCTATTTTGTTTCCTCCTTCTTTTTGTGTGGAGCCGAGGGAAAGGCAAACACAAAACCAGCATCGACCTCGAGTATGTCCCTCGCAAAAACAATGGTGCTGTGGTTGAAGGGGAGGTTGCTGGACCACGAAGGTTCAATATGAAAATGATTTGATGGTATTCTGCTAACAGTGCTTTTCTGTGGCATTAAAACCCAATTAAACCAGCCTGGCATGTGGAATTGCTAGGCAGAAGAAGCTTAATGCAGCTGTCACTGTATCTAAAGGTTACATGAAAATGGAAAGACTATTTGTGGTTATACAGCAGAGCCTCCAGACCTTGAGGCAGATATGTCAGGGCCTTTCATAGAACTGGTAAATTGTACTAACTGTTTGCATTGCAAATGTTGGCATTCTGGGGATATTAGCAATGAACCGCTGGCTCATGCTCATGGACAATTGTTCAACATTTTCTATCACTACAAAAACAAAAAGAAAAAAAAGCCTACAGTGTAGGATTTACATATTTAATGAAAAAGACACATTTGTCTAAAACATACTCTACAGTGAAATTTGTATCTATAGATCTCATTTGGTAAAACCTTGCATCATCCCTTCTAGTTGGTTCAACACCACAAAAGAATTGGTAGTTTTTTTTAATCTACATCTATACTGTGTACATTTTAAAGCAATACAAATGAGAGGTCGTGCTTTTAGATATCCACCAATACTGACCCAAGTGTGATGTCACCCTCCTTTTAACTACCATCTAACCCAAATTAGACTCTTCTAGTTACCAATTAGAAATAATTAAGATATTTTTCTCCTCATGAAGAAGGCCAGAGATGAATAGTTGAGAGCAAAACCGCTCAGCTCTGTTGATCTTCTCTTCATATAAATATAGGGCATGTGCCTAGTTTTGATACAGAATGGAATATTTTTTATATCTGTGATATCACACTGGACCAGTTTACTGTAACATAGTCCTGGATCTCACCCAGGGAAGGCAACCTGCTAGATGTTGCTGGCATAGAGAAGTTGAGTTCTACCTTGAAGAGAGAGAGAGCTGGTTTTGTTAGCCCTGATTTTAATTTCAAAGCTACTGTTAAAACGTTGATGTGTACTGGGCAAGAAGAAAGAACTTAATACATTCTGCATATTCCTTGGGAAATACGGTCATCATACTGTTTATACAAGTGAATTAAAACATTCATATGTTCTGCTATTAGGAATGAACTCTTCTCCAATGCCAGGTAAACTATGGTTGTCCATGCATAATATGGGGATTATAATGCTAAAATAATGTTTAAAACATGATAGCCTCAAAAAAGGCTAACATACTGCCAGATATAATGAACCTCTAGCCACTGTCATTCTCATCTTGTATATTTGTAGATAACACAGAAACGTAAAGCTAATTTCCAAGAACAGATTACTTAGCTAATCTTGATGCCATTTTATTAACTATATGGTTATGTGGTTATGTTTCTTTCAGGGGCACTATCTTAGAGCAAGAGAGCAAGTTTTTCCAGGTTTTAGGAAGCTTTTTTAATGGAGAGAAGACAGAAGTGGAACATTAGTTCAGTAGAAGTAACCTTTTTTTTTTTTTTTTTTTTTGCTTTATGCCTCTAAACAAATCCCCAAAAGGCTCAGAACTGAAATTTTATTCTTTTTTTGTTGATACCACTGTTCTAATTTTGACATTTTCAGCAATGGGAAGACACAGAGTTGCCCAGTCATCTCTCAATTTTCCAGCAATTATGAGCCATAGGTTTGTTGCTAAGTGGTTCATAACAAATATGATTTATAAATGACTGTCATAACCCGGAGTAAGGATAATAATAATATGTATGTGTTTAGCCAAAATGAATACGAAAATATTGTAAGACAGAACATTCAGAGTAATATGATTCAAGAGCCTATACCCAACATTAAAATTATTTTTCAGCACTTAGAAACCAAAGTCAGGCTGACCTATAGTGGGATGCAGGTGCTTCTAAAATGAGTATCCATGTTCTTTGGCAGAGATTTCCTAAGCAGGATAAAAATCTCTCACACCTATCGAGGGAAATGTGCCAAAAGTTGTAAAATTCAGCTGTGCTCCCCAGGTGTACCCCTAAAATAGCTGTAGGACCCAAGGCTAGGCAGTTTTGAGAATCTCTTTTCTTAGTGGTTGATCTTTGGTTGCATCGTTGCTCCATTTTAGGTCGCCAAACTGAGGAGGATGCAAAGGTTGTTAGAATTTTCTTCACTTTAGTTGGCTTTAAGTTTAGAGTTGAGTTTTCTTTCTTCCTATTTTTATGCTCTGAACTAGACAGTTGGAGATTTGTGGAGATGCTTAAGACTAATCCTCTTTGTTCTATGACAGTTTGTAGAACATTAGTAAAATTGAATAACTCCTGACTAAATTCTAAGACCAGGGAAATTATTTTTGCTGATACAATAACAGCCGCACTGAAGTCCAAAACTCTACTGTACCTTAATGTGGGCAGTTAAAGAAACAAACGGGGATAAAACAAAGTGTTTCTGAACTGCCCATTGAAGACATTTGCATGTGCCTTTCCCTTGTAATTGTCATTTTTTTCAACTAGCAATCTATTGCCCCTGCAGTCTTTTCATGTTAAATGTTAAAATCAATGTTAGAAGCAAAAATTCTCCTAAATTCTAGACAGATGCAGCTGATTGCTTCATACTAAATGACACAACAGAAAAAAAATTCTCAAAAAAAAATCTAGAAAAAAATGTGCTTTTGGGATTAATTATGAATTGCTGAATTCCCTTATTCCCTTAGAATGACTCTAAAAAGTGATTGCATTGTTAGCGCACTGCAAGGATTTCTGAGCAGTAATGTGCTTAGTTACCTATGTGAAATGTATGCAGATGATGAAAATCACCACTTGCTGTTGCTGAGCACCACCTTGCAGAGCCATCAACATTGTGTGTATTGCCTTGAGTTCAGTCAGTATTCGGTTTTTCAGAATCAGTGTTTGCTCCCTCCCTCTAGCAATGTTCTACTTTTTGTAGCCTACTTATTTCACCATGGACTTAGCAAGGCATATGGCATCTTTTGACAGAAGTAAGGACAGCAAGACTCAGAGTCAAGCTTTTATCTTGCTCCACACAGTCTTTATATGTGTTCATGGGACACATGCTCACTGTGGATGTTTTGGTTGAATAAGGAATACAGTGTCAGGGTCAGACCTAAATAAGCATCTTTTTTGGCAGTTCTTTTAAGAACAGAGTGGCTGAATGACTGACCTGCCTCTTGAAGGAGTCACTTCTCCTTCTCCGCTAGAGATCAGACAAACACCACAGCTTACCTTACTGCAGGGGAGAAAAAGGACTGGACTGTGAGGAGGCATCTGGCCCACATGGCTCCCCTACCATATACTCAGAAACAGGTGGACAGTGCATATGTGCGTATCTGCCACTAAAAGAGGGATTGTAGGATTTTCCCCTACCTCAGACTTGTAGATTGGCTGCCCCCACGCTGGCACAAGGCCAAGCCTGAACTTACCTGATAGTCAGTGCAAAAAGTCTGTGAGGAGCAGCAATAGTTCTGCAGAAAAGGAGAAAACTGAAAATGTTAAAACCAGCAGAGTGACTTGAGAAAGCAGGTACCACAGTATCCTAGTCAATATTTCCTGTTAGAGGAGTGCTCAGCCTCCCAGAAATAAGTTTTGAAGTCCACTTCCACCAACAGGTACTCCTCTTTCATGGTGGATGGATGTACAAGTACTCAGACTTCCCACAAGTGAGTTAAAGAGGACACTGCAGCTATGTATTAAAAGAGTTTGCAATGATGTAAGAATGGATTAAGATTAAGCAGTGCCCTACCTCAGCCTTATTTTTAAGTTTTGAGGTGGTTCTCTTTTCTTTCCCCCTTCTTCCATTCTTATTAACTTGGCAGCATTCTTTTTAGAAAGGTTTCATCCACAACATCAGCTCAGTTAAGATTCAGATTGGGAGACTGCTTTTACCCTCTCTTCCCCTCTCCCTCACCATTCACACATGCTCCCAGTGCCAAGAGGGTCAACAGCTCCAGATAAAATTGAAATCAGCCTGGAGACACTGAGGCCCTAGACAACTGTTGATACAAGCTGATGTCACTAGGTGTTTTTTCTAACTAACTAAACCTTTTTTTAATTAGTGTGACATCATTGTCACACTGCCATTCGAGGTTTCCTTTATTTACATGAATGGTAGCTATCTTTTTTCCTAATATCTTACATCATAGTATTGCATCACCTATAACCGTAACAATTATACCACTGTAAAGCAAATTAAGCAAAAAAGCCACATTACACCCTCAACACCACAAATTGTAGTTGAGGCACATGAGACACAGTAAGAAGTCAGTGTCACTATTTAATGGAAAGTCTTATCTGAACCTTGTGATAGAAGAAAAAAACAGTGTGGAGGAACTTTGGAATGTAGCCTATGTTACGACTGAATCACATCAAAGATATGTAGAAATAGAGTTTCCTACACCATGTCTAGATATTTGTTTGAGATATTGGACTTTTCCTGAAAAAAAAATGAGGATGTGTGACTGCCAGAAACACACATTTAACCCATAAAAAGACAAAGCTGAAAATCCAGTAGAGCAAGCAGCTTCTGCTTGCCTAAGGACAACAGCAGCTTCTAGCAAAGACAGCCAAGAAATTACAGTCATACAGTTTTGCCTCATCCACTACTGCATCCTGTGAACAAAGGGTCTATTAGCCAGTGACACAATAGACAATCCTTACTCATTTTTCTTCAAAGAGGGCAACATTTGTGTAAATGAGCTATGGTCTGTTCCACCTCCATACCCAGCAGTGAGACATCCAGCAAGAGGTGAGGAAACGGAAACATTTCTGGTCAGTTTACTAATTATCTTTTTCCTCCAAATGATCCTAATCTACTTGGGGCTAGTATGATGTTTGCTCTGTCCATTCCCATCCTCGCAGCTCACAACGTGACCTGACATGGAGTAGCAGGGAAAGGAGCACATGGTCAAGCTGTCCCTCCTTCCTGAACTGTAACCCTGGTCTTCTCAAATAAAAGAACTGGCACAGCAGCAGCTTAGAAGTCGCAGTCTGCTGCACCTGATCTGCATTTTTGCCACAAGACAATATGTGGGAAAACACTGGATACATGCTTTCTGACCTTGTTTCAGTATCCTAGGTTATTGCTTTTTCTGCTAAAAAGAACTAGGAAACAAGAACTAAAAAAACCTGTCATCCAGTGATTTAAAAGTTAATTGTGCCTGGAGGAGTTAAAGGAACATCTTTGGCAAAGGCAAAGGGCCTGATTGCTGGAGAACCACTGAAAAAATGAATGAGATTTTTCAAGTTAGCTAAGCAATTTGGATGCCCTGTTCCTATCACCTGTGATAAGAATCACAAACTCAGTTTCCCTTGGCAGCTTAGAAGAATCGCAGCCAGTTGGTTCAGTGATATATGCGCCCTTTGTCTGTCTCCTAGCTCTGCTCTCTTCCCTTCTCAGTTTCAAATGAGTGTGATGCCAAATGAAGATCTCCAGATTTGGTTTAGTTTCACTGCATGTTCACATCGCTTTTGGAATCTGGATCTCAAAGTAGGATCTTAAATCCTCTTCAAGTCAAAAATAAAAATAAAAAGGGA